TCCCAGCATCAGCTTCATTGTTTCCACCTATACAACGCTCTTCCTTCTGCACAATCTCCCTCCCGTAATCAGCTACTTTATTCCCACCTTCAGCATGCTCTTCCTTGCCCTTCTTAATCACCCTAGTCCCATATTCATCTATGGGTTGCACCCACTGATTCCCCTCCTGCTGCTGCCCCTGTTCCTGCACCACTGCTTGCTGCTGCTTCTCTTGTTGCACCTCTGCATCGTGTTGCCTCTCTCCCTCTTCTTGAATCTCTCCCACCTTTCCTTGCTGCTGCACCTGCCCCTGTTGTTGCATCGCGGCTCGAAGCACTGACCCCAGATCACCAGCCGCAAGCTCCTGTGGACCCAACTGTATCGTCACTACGTGTTGCTGCTGCTGCTGCTGCTGCAGTACTTGCACCTGCACTCCTTGCTCTGCCTGCTGCCCTTCCTGCGTCTGCTGCTGCAACTGCTGCTGCACCTGCTGCAATATTCCCCCCTGCGCTCTCTCCTTCTCCTTCTGCTGCTGCTGCTGCTGCTGCTGCTGCTGCTGCTGCAGCGTAGTACCCAACCCTTGCAACCCTCCTTGTTGCAACGCGTGTTGCAGCACCTGCAGCAGCCTAGCATCCGCCCTCACAAGACCTGCGCCTCCTGCCCCCGGCCCCCCCGTCCCCCCTGCCCCTCCCCCATCCTCAAGCACCAACTGACCCCCCTTCTTGTCTTCTACCCCTGTTCCTCCTTCCCCTCCTCCTCCTCCTCTCTCTCCTCCTCCCCCTGCCCTTTCTCCTCCTCCTCTACCATGAAGAGTCGAAGCAGATTTAGCTGCAGCATCAGCAGCATCTTGGGCAGTAGAAGCAGTGCGATTGGCCCCTGAAGCAGCTGCACGTTTCCTCATTCGTGCTGCTGCAGCCACGGCAACAGCTGCTGCTCGTCGTTTCACCTCCTCCTCTCGTGCAAATACCCGTGCCACTCTCAGAAGAGCGTCAGCAGCAGCAGCAGTCGCCGCTCCTGCTGCTTCTGCTGCTGCTGCTGCTGCTGCTGCCGCTGCTGTTGGTGCTGCTGCTTCTGGTGCTCCTGGTGCTGCTTCGTTGCCAACAGTGGAGGAGGTTGTGGTTGCTGCTGCTGCTGCTGCTGCTGCTTCTGCAGCTGCTGCTTTGGCTGCTGATGCTGTTGAAACGGCTGAGAACGAAGAGGAGGAAGACTTGGGAGTTGCGGGAAGAGAGGCGGGGATGGAAGAGTCTAGGAATAGAAGCACAGACGGGCGCTTGGAGTTGAAAGATGAGCTGTAGGCGTCCGGGGTAACCTGAACAAGAACACGATATAATCAATCAAAGTGAAAGGGAAGGGCTGAGTTTAAAAAAGGACGGCATATGAAACAACTGCATTGCAGAAGCAAAGGTTCATGGGCAAGGTGTTGGGCGAGAATACTCGTGGCACGCAAGCAACCACGCTTTGCACGCGAAACAGGGCTTCTTACAGAGAAGCGAGCTGCGATGCAGGGATGCAAACCGTGATGCAAACAGTGGCAAGGTATGTTTTTTGAGAATTCTCAAGAAGCGAGCTGCGATGCAGGGATGCAAACCGTGGCAAGCAAGCAATGACATGAGCAGCATTCTAGACAGAAACACGAACCGCATCACCCAGCAATCTAGCAACCCCCAAGGGCTATTGCACATCCGAAAAAAAAAAAGACAGTTTGGGAGGCGCGCTCCAGCCAAGAGGACTCAAGAGATTCACGAGTGAGCAAGTGGACTGTGGAACGTACCTCCTGAACAACAGGTCGGGGAAGCTTTTGAGTCGACTCAAAAGTCACCTCAGCCAAGAGGACTTAAGGGATTTCCGAGTGAGCAAGTGGACTGTGGAACATACCTCCTGAACAACAGGTCGGGGAAGCTTTTGAGTCGACTCAAAAGTCACCTCAGCCAAGAGGACTTAAGGGATTTCCGAGTGAGCAAGTGGACTGTGGAACATACCTCCTGAACAACAGGTCGGGGAAGGCTCTGCATCCAGTCTTCTACGGACAGGGTCTCTCCGGACTGCTGCGGTTCCGATGGCCATGGGTATTCAAACCACCCTCGCGCCCTCCCCACCTTCTCCGCTTTAGCCTCTGCTAGCTTCTCAAGCATTGCTTCTTTCTGCTGCCCTTCCTGCTTCTCCTGATGTTGACGCTTTTGGTTTTCCCCCAGCACTCGTTCCTGCTGCCCCTCCTGCTGATCCTCCTCTTCCTGCTGCTGCTGCTGCTGCTGCTGCTTCTGGAGTTGCTGCTCTTGCTGCCCCTCAATCTCTTGCCTCTCGTGCTGTCTAGTGTTTTCTTCCTCTACTTTACCACGTCTTGTGATCATCACACCACCGCCATCACCACCATCCTCACCCCTATTGTCACCATCATCCTTATCATCCTTCTCCCTATCACGCCCCGCCTCAACTCTACTCCCTGATATCTCCTGACTCACATACAGTTCCCTCCCCCTTCCCTTCACTAAACCCCCCTCCTCTCCACCTTCCTCCCAACCATCCTCTCTCTCTGTTTCCATCCACTCTCGGCCATCCCCCCCACGCTCACTCTCCCCATCCCATCCGTCTATATCCCTCCCTCTTCTAACAAATGCCACCAATCGCCACCCAAGTTCCCCAAGGCCTCCCCCCAGTGCTGCCCCGACTGTCCTTCCTCTTGTGGCTGCTGCACCAGCAGAAGTATTACCACCACCACCACCACTAGCGGCAGCAGCAGCACCACTACCAGTAGAAGCATCAATTGCTCCCGTCCGCATTGCACCATAAACCTCCCCCACACCCACCCCACTCCCGTTCCCCTGCTCCCACCCATCCACCTTCCCCAGCACCTGTGCGGCAAGAAGAGGGTCTGAAATGAGCACAACCACAGCCTGGGAGGGAGTCAGCGCGTGCCCCTGCACCACTGTCTTCAACTCTCCCACCACACGCTTCAACTCCTTCCTCGCATGCTCGCTCCCACACTCCACCCACCCCCCTGACAGTGCCGCCGCGGATTTCGATAATGACGATGACGCTCCTTCCGTTAACCGCTTCTGGGGCTCCTGAGGTTCCCCCTTCAGGTTCTTCTCTGAAGCTTCAGTCGATCGATCCTCAGAAATGCCCTTCGGAGGTTCTTCTGAAGGCTCCTTTGAAGGTTCTTCTAAAGGTTCCTCCAGCTGTTCATCTCGCGTCTCCCCTGCCCTATTCTCTCCTGCACCCTTTGGCCTATCATCGACGCCGCTCACTAACTTGTTCACTGCACCACGTGCAGGCCCCTCAGTCAGCTCAGCAGTAGCAGCAGCAACCCCCTCATGGGAGCTCTCCTCGCCGTTGCTTCTCACCACACCTCGTTCCGAGCCTTGCCCCGGGCCTTGTTCCAAACCTTGCTCCGGGCCTTGTTTAAAGCTTTGTTCCGAGGCTTGCTCTGAGTGCCCCTCTTCCTCCTTGCCTTCATGAACAGTGCACTGCATCAATGCAGGTGCCTCTTGTGGTGGTGGCGATGATGCTCCTTCACCCATGTCTGCCTCACAAACAGGCCCCTTGCTACTACTCACTGCCACAATTCCCTTCCCTTTGCTCTCCTCCTTACCCCTGCTCTCCTTACCCCTGCTATCCTCACCCCTGCTTTCTTCCCCCTGGCTCTCCTCCTTCCTGCTATCCTTACCCATTCTCCCTTCCATCCCCTCCTCTCTCTCCTCCTCGTCCCCTTTCTCCTCCCTTCTCCCTTCTTGCTCCTCTCCCCCCTCCCTCCTCTCCCCCTTCCCCTCACCCCCACCACGCGCCCCATCCCCAAAAAACTCCTCATACCACCCGCACCGCTCCACAAGCGCCAGCACCACTCTCGACCCATTCCCAACCCGTACCAACTCCTCCCAGCTCCCGACCCTCCGAATCGGCAGCCAATCCTCCTGGATCGCCATCCCACGCGCCGCAGCCTGCAACACGTGGCGCGCTGTGAGTGGCCCGCGGTAAATAAAGCTGCTCCCGGCACGAAATAAGTGAACGGCCGGGAGGGAGAGCTCTTTGTTGGCCATGAACTCCTTCTCGCGCTGGTAGTTGATCCACCGCAGCGCCAGCGGGTGCGGCGGGGCCATGACTGTAGCGGGCGCTGACCCACTGTCTATGGCGAGCTTGATCTCCTTCATTAGCCGCTGAGAGGCGCCACACCCTGGGGGAACGGGAAGGGGAGAGGTGGGGGGAGGGGGGGCGGGAAGGGGGACGGGACGGGGGAAAGCGGAGGCAGGGTTTTTGCGGCGCCTCTAGACTAAAGTCCTTTCATCAGATGAAGGTGCCCTGCTGCCGGCACGGAAGAGGTGAACGGCCGGGAGGGAGAGCTCTTTGTTGGCCATGAACTCCTTCTCGCGCTGGTAGTTGATCCACCGCAGCGCCAGCGGGTGCGGCGGGGCCGTGACTGTAGCGGGCGCTGTTCCGCTGTCTATCGCAAGCTTGATCTCCTTCATCAGCTGCTGGGAGGCGCCACACCCTGGGGGGGAGGGGAAGGGGGGAGGAGAGGGGAGGGGTGTCGACTTTTGTGATGTCTCTAGAGCAGTCTTTCGCAAGACGCTGTGAGGGGACGCCCAACACTCTGGGGGGAGGGGAGAAGGGGAGGCGGGGGAGGGGGAGCAGGGAGGAGGTGGAGCATGGGGGATAGAAGGAATCGGTGCAGAGGCACGGGGAAGGCCGGAACACAAGAACACAAGAAGACGGAATGGTTACAGAACAGAAAGAGATTCGACAAAACCCACACATCTACACACAAGAACACAAGCACATGGTCACATTGCCCTCGCTCCCAAGTTGACTTTTGATTTGACTCAAAAAACAAGCACATGGTGGCACTGCCCTCCCTCCACCACCCACCCACACACCACACACACACACGGACTCACATGGCACAGTGATTTCTACAACGTCCTGAAAATCGAATGCAAACACATAATCACACTAACCATCCCCACCCACCCCGCACACCCCCTCTCCACCCATCCCCACCCACCACACACACAGGGACACGGATTCACATGGCACAGTGAAAACACAGTGCATATAGTGATTGGTCAACAGTTGCTGGTCACAAGTACACAGCATGGCCACAATGCCCTCCGTCCCTCCCACCCACCCACCCACCACACACACAGCGGCAAGGCCACACACACGGACTCACATGGTACGGTGATGACACAGAGGATGTAGTGATTTGCCGACAATTGCTGGTCATATGAGAAACGGTTCATCAGCTCCCACCGCACTGCTGCTGCTGCCGCTGATGCCGATGCTGCTGCTGCTGCCTTTGCCTTGGTGCGATGGGGTCGGGACCGGGAGGGTGGGGAAGCAGAGGCGGAAGAGGAGGAGGGGGGTGAGGAGGAGGAGGAGGAGGAGGAGGAGGAGGAGGAGGAGGAGGAGGAGGAGGAGGAGGAGGAGGAGGAGGAGGTAGAAGAAGTGGAGGAAGGGGACGAAGAAGTGGAGGAGGAGGAATCTGAATGGGATGAAGAAGGGAGTGAGGGAGAGGAGGAATCGGAGTGAGTCAAGGAGGAAGGGCAGACAGGGGGAGGAGAGGGAGACGCGGGAGGAGAGGGGGTTGATGGGACAATGGCAGCGGAGAGTGATTTTTCATGAGAGGAGCGGGAGGGAGAATGCGAGGGTGAATGCAGGGAGGATGGATGAGACGAGGGAGGTTCAGTAAATGGTGATGGTGATGATGATGATGCTGGTGCAGATTCTACTGCTGATGGTGATGGTGATGATGGTGATGATGTTGATGCAGATGCTGCTGCTGATAGTGATGGCGATAGTGATGGTGAAGAGGGGGATGATGGTGGTGGTGGTGGAAGGCTGGGAGGTGCAGAAGCCAGAGAGGCAAGCCCAGGAGTTGCTTGCAACGAATCGTCACTGCTGTCTGCTAATTCTCTCCTATCAATACGGCTGCTGCTGCTACCGGCCTCTTCATGTGTCTCCCCCATCACAAGCACACTGTGACTTGTCCATGGGGCGAGAACGAGGATCAGGAGGAGAAGGTGGAGAACGGGCACCCAGGGAAGAGGTAGGATTCGAGTTCGGTTCAAAGGAGTGGACACGGCTGTTCTAGAACCACCATCGCTATATGGACTGCTACAGGTACTGATACCAGAACTTTCCCCAGCGCAGTTGCCAGCACGGTTACCAGCACAAATTAAACCAGCACTTTGACCTATCCAAGGCATGTACCCTCTATAAGCAGGCGCGATTTTGTGCCCAAGAATCCCTGCTGCTTGGCCTTGTGCTCTACGGTTGGTACAGGGGGGAGAGAGAGGAGGGAGGGAGGAGTGCCGGCTTCGCCTGCTGCTACCTCCACAATTATTATCACATGCAGGGTTACTAGCCCCCATGGTGCTGCTGCCGCTAATTGTGCCCATCTTGTTCCTGCTGCTGCGGGTCTTGGCGGTGGTGGTGGCAGGCAGCGGTGCTGATAGTGCTGCTGCTGCTGCCACTCTTTTCCGACGCTGCTAGCGCTGTCGTTGCTCTTTCCGCTCTTTTCTCCAGCTTCTGCGTGAGTTGGCTCCTCCGGTCATCCTCCCAACTTCGCGCTCCCCACGTCAGCCTGTCGGCGTCAAGCTGTGTCAACTCGTCGCAGGCACCTCAATTCGTACTCCTCGTAAAATCACATCTCCTAACGCGGGATGCAATCCTTTACTATATGCCTCAGAACGGGCTCGGCACTAGGAAATCACGTTAGCAATTCAGAAAGTAACGGATCGCTCATGGGATAAACGCGACGCGATAAGAACACCTCGATCTGATCCCAGGTGACAAATCACCCCGCTAAAAGCTGCCGCTTCCCCCGTGATCCGTAACGAATATACTGTAACTCTTTGTCCCTTTCGAGTGCGCGCAATTGTGTGGTTACCACGCAACCAAGCGGCGCTCTCGCATTCCCACAGCTTCGCTTCCCAGGTAGCAGGTTCGTGACTCCGCGATAAACAATCTCGTTAATCTCTCACTTCGGACTTGAGCACGAATTACGTCATCAAGACATCAGCACGTTCCCACACGATTGGTGCCTGATATTCCCCAAGCACCGTCCGCAGAATGCGCTCGTCTGCGACGCAAAAATAGACGAACGGCTAGTACGTTACGGCATGGTTCCTGGTAAAATAAGCGCTTCGGATTCACGCTGTACCTAAGGTGAAAGACCAATCTGGTCTTGGATTCGCAGATTCATGCCTTAGGCTTGAGCTTGCCTTGGGATCTGTTTGAAGGGCGGAGGGTTGGTTGGCAGGTTGCAGAAATGAAAGTTGGAATCTCGCGACTGGACCCGACATATACACATTCTTTAGCAGAATACAGCCCTCATATAGTTGCTACTTTCTTTATTCTCAGCTACATTGCAGAAAAATGAACCGTCGAAGTGATTGGAGCTATATATTCCCGTGGGCATACCCGATATAGACTGTGCCTTGAACATGCACATTATACAATGGACTCAGGTGGCCACAGGTGAACGACCCTCTCGAGGTGTTGGGAAGGGCGTGTTTTGGCCCAATAGAGTACCATACCCAAACTACCTACAGCTCTCTAAACCGTAATCGAACCATTTGAGCCGCATTCAAACGAATTTTCAAGAGGCGGCCCGAAGGCGTGGAACATTTCACAGCCAGCACAGCACGCGCACCAGAAAAAAACTTTTTGGCTGGCAGAGACGAAGCGCAGCCAAGGACCGTCGACTCACCAGCCATCAGTAATTTCCGCCATAGCAGCAGCAGCAGCAGCAGCAGCAGCAGCAGCAGCACTACACATTGCCAGTGTAATACATATCCGTAGCTGCATCTATCCCCCCGCATTTCCCGGCTCGTCGCTCATGCTCCGCCACCCGTCGGCACCGCCGCTCCTGCTGCTCTGCCTCCTACTAGCTCTCTCCTGTCGCGGCTCGCCTCCGCTGCACCCGCGGCTCGGGACTGCTCCGAACCATGCTGCTACCTCGTGTGCTGTCGCGATCGTCGCGGCAGCAAGCGCAGTCCCCGCGAGTCAGAATCTCTTTGCGACATTTGAGGCGCCGCAAAAGTCGGCAGCAAGCGAAGCCCCAGCGGGTCAGGTCCCCTTTGCGGTCAGGACTGCTCCGCTAAATGCGGACCCGGTTGCGAATTCCGTCGCAGAAGCTGTCGCAGGGGTAGTCACGAAGCCAGTCGCAGACGCTGTCGCAGTGTCCCGGCGACGGAAGGGCCTGGAGGAGGGCGGGGGAGAAGGGGAAGCGCAGCAGGTAGTGGGGCGCGTGGATGCGATAGAGGCGGAACTGGCGCAGGCGGAAGGGGGAGTCGGGGCGGAAAGGGGAGCGGAAAGGGAAGGGAAGGCGGAAAGTAGAGGGAGAATAGAGGCAGACAGAGGTGAAAGTGGGGAGGCGGAAGGGGGAGGGGAAGGGGAGGACGAAGGCGGACGGGGTGAGAGCGAGCAGGGACCGCAGGCAGCAGGGGGGGGGCAGCGCGCAAATCTTCCCCCCTCCCCCTTCCCCCAGTCCCGCGGCCCGCTCCCCCCGTCGTGGATGCCCGTGCCCGCGCGGCGCCTGGGGTGGGCGGCGCAGAGCGCGGCGCTCCCCGTGATCGCGCTGGACCTCTTCAACACGCACCTCCGCGCGCCCCTCCACATGCGCTGCCACGGCCGCGCCTGCCCCGCCTTCTCCCCGTGCGGGGACACCTTCGGGAACATCGCCGCCTGCTGGAACCCCGAGCTCTCCGCGGATCGGCGGATGAACATGCGCGCGCCCGTCAACTGCCCGCGCGTGCAGGGGGGCTGGCGGAACGCGACGTGCGCGCACGCGGAAGACCTGGACGCGAGGGACGCGGTGGCCTTCCAGGTGGGTTTCAGGTGGCCTTTCAGGTGGCCTTTCAGGTGGGCTTCCAGGTGGGTTCCCATGTGGGTTTTTCTGTGCCCAAAGCACTAATGTTCAAGCCCTTAACAAAAGAAACACCCTTTCAGCCCTGAAATTTCCCCACCACCACTGCAGGCGTTCCGAGTGCACCACGTGTTTGTGTCCAACCTCGGGTTTGTCTTCAACCGCACGCACCGCTTCGTGCGCAACGGCTGTGGGGCGTACCAGAAGGTGAGAGGCACGAGGTAGCAGCAGGAGGTGAGTCACGTCGTTTGGTGCTGCTGCAGGCTAGCGCTAGCTCGCAGTGAAGTGTATTTTGAGGCGCCTCAAAATACACGTCCTCATACCATTTCTTTTGTTTCGCTGCCGCCACCACCATGCATTGCTGTCGAAATCTTGTTTCTGAATGCGGCCCGTCTTTTCCTCCCCGCTCCCTCCCCCTTTTTCCCCACCTCGCCCCCTCTCTTCTCCACACTGCCTTCCTCAACTTTCCCCCTTCCCTCTCCCCCTCTTCTCATTCTTCACCCCCTCCCCCCCAGTTCTCCTTCCCCCCATCCGCGCGGGTGCGCAAGCTAGGTCGAGCAATCAACTGGGTGCACGTGGCAGGACTACAACCTCGCGCCCCTCCTGCCCTCCTCCCTTCTTAACTTTCTCCCCTCTTTCCCTCCTCTCCTTTTTCCCTCCTCCCCTCCTGTCCTCCTCCCCTCCCCCCCTCCCCATCCCTCTTCCCCTCCTTCCCTCCCCTCCAGTTCTCCTTCCCCCCGTCAGCTAGAGTGCGCAAGCTAGGCCGTGCCATCAACTGGGCGCACGTGGCAGGTCTAGCTTTCTTCCACATGCTCACGGAGGCCATGCCGCAGCTCTACAACCTCGCGCCCCTCCTGCCCTCCTTCCACCGCGGCCTCCGCCTCCCTCTCCTCGCCTCACCCAAGCAGGTAACGCTGCTGCTGGTTAGGTTGGGGCATGCATAGGCGTCGTGGGTTTCAATCCAGGTCGACTCGAAGCACTGTGGACGAGGGCGGGTGGTGGTGGGGGGTAGAGGGGGGTGGGTGGTCGCTTGAATGACGCGTCAAGTGAACCGTTACTAGCCATCGGCACAGATCTAGCTTTGGGCCCTCCCGCAGCTCTACAACCTCGCGCCCCTCCTGCCCTCCTTCCACCGCGGCCTCCGCCTCCCTCTCCTCGCCTCACCCAAGCAGGTAACGCTGCTGGTCGTGGTGATGCTGCTGCTGCTGCTGCTGCTGCTGCATGCGTGCATGAGCATTGTGCGTGTGGGTGAAGGAAAGGGTGGGGGGGAAGAAGAGTGGGAGGGGATGTTGGAAGTGGACACTGGAATGGCCCGAAGTGGTCTCCCTAAGGGCTACAGGTGTCGTCCTGGGGGGGGTATGGGTGCGCTGACCCACTATGGAAACATGCCCTTTCATCCCAGTCGGTTAGCGGACTGAAATGCTATCCCTGCAGGGGAGACGAAAAGGTGGGGTTGAAGGTGGGAACGGGAGGGGAGGAGAGGGGAGGAGGCTGGTTGGCTGGTTGGCTGGTTGTCATGCGTGAGCACTGGGCATGTTATTTTGTTCATGTCATTCATGTGCGACTTTTGAGGCGCCTCAGAAATGTTAGTTATGCTCATGGGCATGTTGTCATTCATAGGCGCCTTCTATCTTCTGTCGTCCATTCTCCTTAAACCGGCATCATTTGTACGTCGTAGATATATATATGCTTAGATGCGCGTGCGTGTGTGTGTGCCTGTGCTTGTGCATGTCCATGTGCGTGCAACCTACTAACAGGTGCAGGTGTGGGACGAGCTGATGGCGCCTCTAGTGGGCATAGCCAGGGACGACGTGGATCTCATAGTGCCGCCTGATGGCCACCTCGTGTTTGTGCGCACACTTGTAGAGGTGAGAAGGGAAGGGGCAGGCCCTTGTTCTTTTGTGCATAGCCAGGTGCTGTTCTCAAAGAGCATAGCCAGTGACGACGTGGATCTTACAGTGCCGCCGGACGGCCACCTCGTGTTCATGCGCACACTCACGGAGGTGAGACAGGGAAGGTTTCTCAATGCCAGGGACGATTGGCAGCTTCAATAGAGAAGTCGAATTGCTTCTTGACTTGCGCCGTACATTCTTCTCTCTTTCCACTCTCTCTCACACTCCCCCGCTTGCTCCCTCCTTCCCTCCACCCCCGTCACCCTTTCCACTCTCCCCCACGCCACCCAGCCATCCCGGCAGTACTGCGGGGTGCCGGCGCGGGGACTATGGCACAGCCTGCGGCGGCAGCACCTGCTGCACCCGCAGGGCCTCCCCATCTTCCACCGCAACTGGACGCAGAGAAACCTCACCCCCCTCACCGATGACCAAATGGCGCTGCTGCCCGCCGACTGGGTGGTGCTGCTGGTGCGGCGGCCGGGCAAGGAGAGGGTGATGGAGAGAGAGGGCGACCTGGAGGGCAGCATGAGGCGCGTCTTTGGCGACCGCCTGGTGGTCTACGGCAACTCGCTGCCCATCCTGCAAGGTGGGGACAGCAGAAATATGTATATGCATAATTCATGTGTTATATAAATATAGACCCTCTCACTAGTTTCGTTTCACAAGAAAGAAACTTAAGCACCCTTTTCATCAACCTCACTGGCCCACCTAAATTCGGACTCCGCCTCCCTTCCTCCGCCTCCCTTAAGCACCCTTTTCCTCCCTTCCTCCCCCTCCCCTCGCTTCCCCCCTTCCCTCCCTTCCCCAACCCGAGCTACGTCCCATTCCTCTCTCACACTTCCGCTCCCGTTCTCCATGCTGTTCTATAGCTGGGCTATGTTCCGTTGTGACCACTCGCACTCGTGTGCTTCATCCATCAGTGCTGCTGCTGCTATTATCCCCCCTCTCAGCCCACATGTCTAAATCTCTGCTGCTGTTCTCCGGCAGTCCCACATATCCCTCTCCCTTCCTTTTCCACTTCCTCCCCCTCTTCCTCTCCCCACTCTTCTCCCTCCTCCCCTCCCCCCTCCCCCATCCCCCCCCCCATCCAGCCCGGGCACTGTTCCGGAGGGCGCGGCTGGTGGTGGCGGTGCACGGGGCGGGCCTCTCCCACACCATCTTCATGCCCTCCAATGCGTCCGTGCTCGAGATTCGCCCTCGGGATTACCACAACACGTGCTACCACCATCTTGCAGAAGCCTGCGATGTCAATTACTATCTGATGCTGGGAGAAGGGAATAAGAAAGGCACTGTAAAGGCGGATTTAGGGGAGGTTATGGGGTTAGTAGAGACAATAGCTTCTGGCTGGAAGGATGAACCAGGCTAGAATGGTAGTGGTGGTTCTCTTGTCCTCTTGCAAAACATGTGGACAGAATGCATGCCATACAGTTATGTACATTTACGGTGAACAGATAATGTACATTTACGGTACTACATGGTAATATCAAATAAACAGGTCCGTCTATTCATTTACGGTACGGTAATCTGATTTACATCCAGCCATGATGAACATTCTCTTTCTTCTCTTGTTGACGGTGTGTTTAGCCTCCATTCTTTCTTTAGTGTATATAGCCCACAAATTAAAGTACGGTAGGTACCATGGTTTGGCACATGACATGAGAGCAACTGCCAGAAAAACAGACCATGTACTGTCGTGATAGTAGTAATAAGGCTAAACTAACCAAATTGGCATCTCATCTGTAACTCTGGCTGAAAACAGCAACAGATCCCGTGTGTCCATCCACTTCAACGCACAAGTATGCCGAGCAGCCAACGCAGCAGCAAACACAGTAACAAGGTCCGTCAAGGGCAAACAAACGTACGGCCCCAAAGCAACTCACTTACCTACACACAACACAACTCAACACCATCGCCTATACTTCGCGTGTTGAGAAACGATCTGTCAAGCGTGGAAGGAACCAGGTACCACGGCCTTCATGCTTGTACATAAGCCTGCATGCATCTCATCTCACGTGGTCTATGCCGTCTATTCGAGTCGAGCCTATGGTTTGCCAACCAGGGCTCCCGAAAGGGGAGCGAGCTAGCAACTACATTGTACCCCACAAAATGTACGCGCCTCAACAAATTGATATGGTACCCCCACCCGCACCAGAAGCAAGCTGTAGGCTAAAAGCACAGGCTGCTGCGGGTAGGAAGGTAGGGAGGGAGGTGGATAGGGAGGTGGGCAGGTAGGCGAGCAGGTAGGCGGGTTGTTGGGCGGCAAGGTGGTTAGGCAGATAGGTAGGCCCGGGCCCCATCCCTTGCTGTCGTGTCTTGTCTTGTCACGACCTTTAAGCCCTAGTCAAGCTTCCATCCGCGACTGACCCGCCCATGCATACCAGGATCCCGCTTTACAATCCTTCCTTGTAGCTGCGTCGCTCCTTTATGTCCCTGTCTGGTCTTGTCGCTAGACAAAACACAACAGCAGCGAGCACGGCTGAAAAAAAAAAAAACAGAGCAGGTCACAACAGGCACAGCACAAAACTGCACAGAGCCGCACAGCACAGCACACCACCACACTGCACCGCACAGGACAGCATCACACGGCACATTGCAGCGCTTGAGGCTCGACGAAAACCGCGGCTCCGGCCCCTCTCCTCTACTTGCCCCTCTTTCCCTCCCGCTTACTGGAAGCTCCCCTTTCGATCCGAACGTTCTCTGCACCACATGCTATATGTCTCCCACCCTTCCTCCCCCAACTCTCCCCCCATCCCACACCACCCCCCCCACTCATCCCCCGCTGTCCCTCTCAACCCTCATACCCCTACTCCGCCCTCTTCCCAGATCCCTCCCCATTCCTCGTCCACCCAGCCTCCTCTCCCTCCTCAGCCAATGCCACTGAGTCAACCAGTGCGGGGGGGGGTTGGTCTAGCCGAGGGGTTCCTCAGTAGGTCGAAGTACGGGTGGTCCTGAGGGGTGGGAAGAGGTGGGATGGGATGGGATGGGATGGGATGGGACGGGACGGGACGGGACGGGACGGGACGGGACGGGACGGGACGGGACGGGACGGGACGGGACGGGACAGGACGGGACGGGATGGGATGGGGTGGGGTGGGGTGAGGATGGGATGGGATGGGATGGGATGGGATGGGATGGGATGGGATGGGATGGGATGGGATGGGATGGGATGGGATGGGATGGGATGGGATGGGATGGGATGGGATGGGATGGGATGGGATGGGATGGGATGGGATGGGATGGGATGGGATGGGATGGGATGGGATGGGATGGGATGGGATGGGATGGGATGGGATGGGATGGGGAAATAGGCTAGCTCGACACACGGTATTATCCACATGCTATAACCCATACCCAACACCATTCTCCACTGTGCCAAACCAAGCCCCCACCATGCCCCACCATAACAGCATAGCCCCATACCCCACCATAACAGCATAGCCCCATACCCCACCATAACAGCATAGCCCCATACCCCACCATAGCCCCAGCAGAAAGCCACCCAGCAAGAGACCCGGCGTGGCACTGGCACTGACCATGGCTTGCTTGGCTGTGAGCCTCTCTTGGTGGTCGTAGCGCAGCAGGCGGTCAAGAAAGTCAATGGCCTGGTGGGGGGAGGAGGGGGAGGGGGGAGGGGGTAAAGGAGGAGGGGGGTGGGGGTTGAGTCGACTCAAATCTCTCCTGGTGGTTGTCGCACGGCAGGCGGTTAAGAAAGTCAATGGCTTAGAGGAGACGGTGAGAGACAGGGCGCGAGGGGCAACAGGGGGGTTGAGAACCGGGAAAGGCGGCAAGCGGCGGAGAGGAGGGAGGGAGGGAGTGGGGAAGGAGGCAGCGAGAGGAGAGAGGAGGAGAACGGGCAGCTGGGATATCGATGGGTGGGATGGCAAGGCTGTGAGGCGAAGTAAGGGGGGTCATTGACCATGAGGGAGATAAGAGGGACGATTTCGAGGGAGGTGAGAGTGTGAGTGTGAGTTAGGGCATTTACCTCGGGTGACACGAGGTGCTGGTTCTCAGCTGTGATAAAGCGCGACCATGGCTTGCGGCGATGCCTCCCCACAGCGGACTGCAGCTGCGAGTCCAGCCGTACAGAGTAGCGCGTGAGGTACTGGTACAGGTCCGATGTGCCTAGGACCTGGATCGGGAGGGAGGACAGGGGGGGCGGAAGTGAGGGTGTGAAGGGGTGGAGAGGGACTGCAGCTGCGAGTGCTGCGAGTCTAGGTGCACCGTGCACGGAGGAGTAGCGTGTGAGGTACTGGTACAGGTCCGATGTGCCTAGGACCTGGTTGAGAGGAATTGGAAGGGGAGGCGGATGGGGGGAGTTGGATTGGGGAAAAGAGTAAGGAGGGGAAGTGAGCGTGAGGAAGAGAGGTGCTGGTACTGCTGCATACACGCCCTGCTGCATGTTCCCCAGCTCCTGTAGGGTTAGGGGTCACCAGAAACCTGGTCATGCCTTCTTGCCATCCCTCACACCCCGCACCTTCCATCCACTCCCCCTCCTCCCCCTCCCATCCCATCCCCTCCCATCCCCTCCCATCCCGTCCCCTTGCCTTCGCGACATGGCAAGGTGATGAGGCGTGCACATTGTTATGATGATGATGAATCACCTCACCTGAGCAATCTTGACGAGCTGGTCGTTGTTGTCCGCGCCAAAGAAGAAGGGCTCCCTGCGGAAGATCTGCCATGCGGGAGAGAGGGGCGAGGGGGGGGGGCGAGGTGTGGGAGAGGGGCGTGGGAGAGAGGAGTGAGAGAGGGGAGTGGGAGAGGGGAGTGGGAGAGAGGAGTGGGAGAGGGGAGTGGGAGAGGGGAGTGGGAGAGAGGAGTGGGAGAGGGGAGTGGGAGAGGGGAGTGGGAGAGGGGAGTGGGAGAGAGGAGTGGGAGAGGGGAGTGGGAGAGAGGAGTGGGAGAGGGGAGTGGGAGAGGGGAGTGGGAGAGAGGAGTGGGAGAGGGGAGTGGGAGAGGGGAGTGGGAGAGGGGAGTGGGAGAGAGGAGTGGGAGAGGGGAGTGGGAGAGGGGAGTGGGAGAGGTGAGGGGGAGAGTGGGAGGGCGGGCAGGAGAGTGTTGAGAAGGGATGGGGGAAGGGATGGAAGAAAGGATGATACGAGGAGGAGAGGGAGAATGAGAGTGGGATGCGAGCAAGGCAGGGGGTGAGAGGGGAAATGTGTGAACGCAAGAAGCGTTCCTCTATGTTCACTGCTTATATGCACCCCATGCTCAATATGCTCTCACCACCACACACCCCATCCCCCATGCTCTCACCACCATCCCCTCCGCACCCCCCAGGCTCACCATGCCTACCCCCCAGGCTCACCATGCCTGCGACCATGCAGCCCAGGCTCCACATGTCCAGCGAGTAGTCATAGTCCTCTATGTTCACCAGCAGCTCTGGCCCCTTGAAGTACCTGCGACGGGAGGGTGGGGAAGGAGTGGCACGGGTGGGAGGGGGGAGGAAGGAAGGGGGAGAGGGAGCGGGAGAGATGCACCACATGTTGGGGAGGGGGAAAGTCCAGCGAGTAGTCATAGTCCTCTACGTTCACCAGCAGCTCAGGACCCTTACCTGGGGGAAAAGGAGAGGAGATGGGACGAGAGGGGGAACGGGGGAGTGGGAAAGGGCGAGGAAGCAAGAGAGGGGAGGGATGCACAGCAGCACATTGAGGAGGGGAAGGCCAGCGGGTAGCCGTAGCCTCAATGTTCACCAGCAGCTCGGGCCCCTCAATGATGAAGCTTTTTAGAATTGTTATTGTTTTCGTTATAGTGCCATAGTCCCGGCCCTCCTCAATTACCATCATCATCAGCAGCAGCAGCAGCAGCAGCAGCCCAAGTTCATGCTTCTACCCGCCTAGACACCCTGGCCAATGATGCTGTGCTGCGGACACCCTTTAGAACCCCAGCCAACTCCCCTGCACCGCAGGCAACTCTAGAGCGCACCGTACTACAACCTCCCTGCCTCACAATCCCACACCCCCACACGCGCACAACACGCACCAGGAGGTGACGCGCACCCGGGCATGGCCTACAACGTGTGCAAGCCCCCAGTCTATGAGGCGCAGCTGGCGCTACCTGTCTTGTCCCACACACACGCACACTCTCACACACTCTTAACCACCCAACCACGCGCACGCACCTAGAGGCGACGCGCAAGTTGTAGGCCATGCCCGGATGGTAGAGGGAGACTCCGCCAGCCCCCAGTCTATGAACTGCAGCTGGCCCTGCCCCGACTCATTGCCTCTACCCATTCACACACCCTACCCATGCTGCTGTGCCGCGAACTCCCCTGCATCCCGCACCGTACGTCCCCTGTGCACCCTGAACAACTCACCGAGAGGCGACGCGCACGTTGTAGGCCATGCCCGGGTGGTAGAACTCCGCGAG